GTCAATATGGTCATCTAATTCCATAGCTCTGATGATTCATATCACTACATAATACGTAGAGTTGTGTTACCCGAAATAATGGACTATAAAGATTACGGAGTCACAATATCAGCAACCTCAAAAATACGAGCAAATGCAAAGCTGCTGTGAAGTGCTTTGAGGTATTATGACCTATGAGTTGGTCATTTTAGTACTTGGACGAAAAAAATGCCTTAAGTGGTACACCTTACTTTCGTGAGACTGCACTTGGGATATGGTGTCAAAGCAGCTAGTCCTTGTTTCAAGTATGAGGCGAATATAACTGAACGAGTTCAACGACAAGGAACTAAAATGATAAAAGGTCTCTCTGGTCTATCTTACGAAAACAGACTTGGAAATCTCAACTTGTTTACGTTGTCTTGCCGCAGATTACGAGTTGATCCAATATTGGTCTATCGTATCGTAAACTTTGGTCTTAATGTCTAATATTTTCCTACCGCCTAGGACTGAACGTTTGAGAGGACCTTCAAGAAAGTTCAAAAACCGAGATTAAATCATCTACGTCTGGAGTCTCGTATCTCGTACCGAGTAGTGAATTATTGTAATTCTCTACCAGAACACGCATCACCAGCAAATTCTGTTGATATACTCAAAACGAGATCGGACCTCTATAGTGTTAGAAAATGCATGGATTAATAAAAGTCGACAGACCTCCTACCCTTATTAATAAAGACTTGTAGAACGATGGTCTACTATGATATTAGTACTGCTCTAATAATAGACCCAATCCTAAATTTGTAGATTTGTCATGATATAACTGCCTAATCTATAAGATCTTACGTGGAAGTCACACCATCGACTACACCAACTCATTGTATCGTATCAATTACCAATACATGATGTAGAACAAGGTTAGGCTAGAGAAAGAACAATATATTTAGTATGAATAGAAGATATAAGGTAACATTCAGCAGAGACCACGCCTGCATGGCCGAGCCATGGCACTCGATCAACTCCAGTCCATTCAATTCATTGTTCGCGCCTTCTCCATCGTTAGGTATTTATCCGCGTTAAATATTGAATATCTATTTTCTGAGTAGTCTCGCGTTCAGCTTTGTGGATTGTGCGGTTATTGTCCAATGCCACTACAGACTTATTAGTGCACTAACATCGAAGATATCGTTATAAGGTAGATAAGGATGGACTAATCAAAGGTTGGGAATGTACTTTTGTCAAAACTACATGTTTAATAACTTTATATGAGTTATAAATAAAAATAATATATTTGTAATATCCCAATGAGTAGAAAATTGGATTTTTCTGACGTTTCGTGGCTTAGTGTAAGTCACTTCTTCAGAGAATAAATAACCAAATTAAATTAATCCAAGTTTAAATAGTACAACGGAACAATGCAAGAATAATATTTGGGGAAACGTTAGGATGTGGCTTTGGAGTGAATCTGCGTTGTTGTGTTAAAAAGTTTAGAAAATCCACCACAACACGGTTTGCTTACACACTTATTTTTGTGTATATAACTCTTATATCAATTGCATAGCAGACAGAGATAATCTCCTGCGGTTTAAAGCTTGTGAAGGAGGTGACAGAATTATGGGGTACACTATCTTTAACATATATGCTCTTCACTCAAATTTTAATAACATTCCTTACAATCACAGTTTCCTCAAGTCAGACGTCCCAGAAGAAATCATGAGCACAGCTGAACATCCTTCTTATCCTAAGATGTTTGTGCAGTGTCTACATCTACTCTGGACATTTACTTAATCCAAACCTACGTTCTTCATCCTTATTCCACAATGAGATTATACTGACCTAATCAGTCCTCATGATTAAAGTAAATGGCTGACTAATATTTTCCATTGTTTTATTCCTTACTTTTATCATCGTTGATATGCATGGTTCATTGATCGGTTTTTCCTTACAATAAGCAAAACAAAGGTTGATAACAACGCCAATACCATGATAAGAAGCATTAGTAGCAAAAATTAGTTCTCGTTCCGGGCTAGGAATTAAATAATAAATCAGAGGATAAACTTTTCTTGATTTTATCAAAGGAGTTTTAACATTCGTTTGACCACTTTTACGACTAGCTGTTAAAAGCTGATTTAACGGATGGCGTAGTTGTTACGCCCAAGTTTTCGTTCGCTTTCCTCATTAAAGAACGGTATATCGACCCATTTGCAACTTACGAATCCAAACGAACAAAGAACCAAGCCCACATTTATGTACCAAAGTTTATTCGCAATTTACAAGTAGTCGACCCAAATGTCGTTCTAACAATAATTATAACAATTATGGAAAAAAACCTTCAAATTAGTAGGTTCCCGGAGCAAAAACTCTCAAATACCAAACCAAAATATCCGAAAATAATGATATAAACAGACAAGTTCAGAAGTTGAGAATAACAAATGCATAGAAAGTACAGTGAAATTAGTAATAATCAATATAGAAGTTTTAATCAGCCGAATGTCTTCAGTTCTCCCGTAACATAGTGTCTGCCTGGCCAGAATATATACACTTTAATATCCAATCAAGCCAAAAAAATAATCGTAATGTCATTAGGAAAGTCTATAGAGTCAATAATTTAATGGCATATATAATATCCGGATCGGTCAACAATCATGTTTATCAAATATAAATTCAACATACTAAAGAGATTCAAGTAGTTCACTTTTATATTTTCACAGCTGGAAACCGGACTTTGATATTCTTTTAAATAATTTATTTAGACGAGTCATTAGTTACTCTTTGGTAGAACCTACAACAATAATAATTACACCCAAATAGGCTCCAACACGGAGACTTAATATCATACTATCCACTAACGAATATCGAATAGCAAAGCTTGTTCACAAAATATCTATTTAAAATACCACCGGTTTCATCAGAACTAGATTCCCTTAGGGGTTATGGTAAGATAAAATGTTTGTGTTCAGCGTTCTTGTGGACCACGTTGTCGTGTCAACAATCGTACTTTCTTTACTCACTCTATATAGTCGTATTCTATTCGAAAATGATCATCGATTCTGGCAAAATATGAGTCAAAAGTGTGACCATTTTCTGCCATAAAAACAAATTCTGGGGCTGAATTAAGTGATGATTTTATTTCTTTATATTCTAAAGCGCATTGCAGCTGGATTGAAAATATTGATATGTGATGTAAGCAATTGTTCCTGAGAAGTTAAAAAATTGACCCTGCTGATGCTGAAGTAATAATTGCATTTGCTCCATAATAATCGATATATTTATTTTTCATTCCTGCACTATTCAGGACAGTAATAAAAAACCTGAATGACTGATTAGTAGGCAGTACCGTGCAAGGATATGGGCGACAAATCTGCATATTGATTGGTCAAATAATTAGACTCACCCTCATTTGACTACTGGCTGACCTTGACTTTCTGTGAAGGTTGAAGTTGTAGATTTTCCACGTCGTCGACAACTGTTGTGCTTGATGCTCCGTCAAACACCATGTAATATGAATGGCAATCAGTACATTGACTTACATAACATAGACACTGTGTCAAACCAATGCCGTGTTAACCAATACGAGCAGTCTAGAGTCAACTTAGGATCCTTACTGGTTCCTCTCACCTTGCTTTGCCCTGCCTGTTGAGTCCAGAATACAATCTCACTTTAGCCTGTATGAATCGTATATTTCAGACATACTTGATTTACACAAAAGTAGACCAGACCACATCACACCATCAAATCAAAAATAATTATTGTACAACATCAAACTAAAAGTGGCTGTGAGTGTGAAAGACTGTAAACTAGTCGATCGCGAATAACTTGAGAATAGTAAATCGTATAATAGTAGTTAATAGGTCACATGGGAGATTAAAATAATAGGAATATATATGATAACAGTCCATAAGTAGTTCCAAAAAGTTACCCATAATTCAATCTTCGGATACAATTTTCATGTCACGTGCAAGCTCATATATACAAAGTTAGATGAAGGGCTAGATTCCACCATCTTCAAATAGTCAACAAACTCGGCTATAGAACTTTCAAACACGAATAACGAATTTTGCAAAACAAATATTTTATGACCATCTCAAAATACGAAAATACAGTACTCCTTTGACTAAACCCGGTAGTGAGATATCAATGTTCAGATGCTACGAATTACCTAATGTATCAAAAATAATACTAGTTATATGAGATTCAAACGACGAGGAAAAATAAACGAAATCCTTTTGCACTAATCTAAGTAAATTTACTTAGCATGTATATTCGGATCATCAGCTGAATGCCATGAAGCTTAGAAAACTCCTCTGCCACTTTACTGACGAACGTTTATTATCAATATTAGTGTCCTGACAAAAATGCTTGAATAATAGTTATTCGGAGGAATTTCAATTAATTAGGCGACTAAGACTTATTTGAATAAGTTTTTTGAAAGGATATAAAAAACATGCCGAGTTGATTAAATTTATATTCCGTTAACAAAGCAAATAAATTATTATTGGCACAAATTTGTGAAATGTTCTCTGAGACTCAAACTTATAACAAAAAAATAATAACCTAACAGCTTAATTTATATATGAGTGTCGAAGTAAAATTCACTTATAAGAGATAGACGTTTGATAAAAAATATGATGTTTATATTATTTGTACTACATTACGCTGCATAAGAGAACATAACAAAAAATACAAAGTATCATGTATTACCTGATAGACGTAGGTAAAATCCTCAGGCCATCATTTTGAATGTAAACCAAAACTCACTGGAATCCGGAGGTAGGACTTTTTTAAGTACTGAAATTGAATAACCTTAGAAATTGGAATTTTACTGAACTACGCTTTGTACAAATAATTGTACCTAAAGATGATGTTTCAGCGTCAATTACAGTATACACAAAAATAGTTGGCTAATAAACGCTACTGAATTCGTCACAAACACTATATTTTAATCTAGAATCAGATAAAGAATGCTCTGCAATTCATATATTAAAAATTTTTTAACAACAATCAGAAAATCACAGAAATTGAGATGCTTATTCTCGGAACCGCCAATCTTGTCTACATAAAGGACAATGTTGAGCCATTTGCTGACTATTTAACCATTTTATAATGCAATGCATATGAAAACAATGATTACATTGACCCCAAACAAGAGGACAGTCGTCACCTGGGAGTTTACAATCTGCACAACATGTTTCAAAAGCGTTCCGACAAATACCACAGTCATCATCGTTAGTACACCATTTCCATGCTGAAACTGCAAACCAATGATTAATCTGAAAGTTTGGAGTGATAGAAATATAAATTATAATTTACACATCTGAATAATTTCAGATAATTTCCAAACAAGCAATAAAATTATTACAATTCTTTAGTTTTGTAGGATTACAGTTCGAAAAACGGAGAAATAAATACAAAGGTTATGCATTTTTAATATGGGGATATGCCATTATGAACAAACACGTTGTACCTACATTTTTAACTGAATGATAGAGGTTCGAGAATATATATATATATATATATATATATATATATATATATATATATATATATATATATATATATATATATATATATATATATATATATATATATATATATATATATATATATATATATATATAACCATTAGTACTATGATCATACATAAACATACTTTGTTTCAATCAATAAATACCTTCATATCAAAGCACGTTTTACCATTATTATATTATCTCACGAGTTCACAGTTTCACATGTCGCTAGCATCGAAAAGCAACCGTACTAATATTCCTACGTAAAATAAAATATCAATAATCGGCTCAAGGAAAATGAAATAACTGACAGACGATATGAAAAGGTAAAGAAAAAACACTTTCTGATGAGTCATCAGTGCTTCATTTTTTAAGTGTTTAGTTGGATAATACTGTTTTTCTCATGATGAAGCCATACATATCAAGTTAGGCAAATCCATAGAATCCCAAATTATTTGAATTACATGTGCATATAAATAACACGTATAACTTAGTCCTTTAAATTTCTGACGTATAGTACTGATTAGGACACACTAGGAAAAAAAGTCTACCAACCTTTAGGCTAAGAGGTGACGGAGAGTCAATTAAATTTTTCGAAACTTCTGCTTGTAGGTCAGACATAGGTGCTATAAAAAAGAATCACGAGAAAAAAAAGACTAAATACCAGACTTGATATATCACTATATATATATATATATTCCAGTTTCTTTGGCGAATGTAAGTTACACGAACATGTATTTGATAAAATATACTGCAAGATATTTCGGAGAATGAATTCTATCCGGAGTAAAAGACAAGTAGATTTTATTTTAATCTAATCCCACTAATTGCTTCACACATTTCAAACATTGCAGCGCTTTACTCCAAATTAAAATAATCGTCGACTAGAGATTACAATGTGCATTGGAAATTTAAAATGAAATTTCACTACACAGCAATATACAAAAATACGGAAAACAAACCGATAATATCATTAATTAGTAGGTGTATTGTTAAATAAAGACCTATAAGTGAAAAGTTTGTAATTTCGAGTCTATTGTTGTATCATTGTTCTTTATCATGGGTTCATCGAACATTTTGCATGTGGTATTTCTAAATGATTTTATTTGTTAGCTTTGACTTGATATATATTTTATTATTCATAGATCACAGTCACTTAATTATGGATCTGTAACTCAATTTGTACTGCAAATGACCAATTCAGTTTGAAATTGTGATTTATTATTATTTATGCTACGTTTTAGTCTTGTTAATTGATGTATACTATCAAGCGAGTTTTGAGTTATAAAATAAATGTAGTTAATCAGGCGAGTTCTGTTTCTTGTGTTTTGGTTAGGAAAGTTAAGCTGCAGTAAGTCGTCGTAACCGATCCTCATCAGCATACTTAGTGTGGACAGCGACTGAAGAGAGGGTAATTAGTAATACTGTTGTTAGCAAAATCATCATGCTCTAATTAGTTGGTTAATTAGAATTTAAAAACATGTCATTTATAAAGCAAGTGGCAACAACTAGTAAACAACTGTGTATTACAATTGATGATTGGAACATGGTGCAAATTATCAGGCAAGTTGTGGATATGAATCACGTTTCAACCTTGAAATTGTTCTTTATCAATATAAATATTGATCAGACGACAGTGTAAAAGCGTACTGCTAACTAAAAATAAATGTTACGTACTATATGCGATACCAGTAAGTTTGTGTAAATATACATTTAGTAATAAGTATTTATGTACGCTAAAATAGATCACATATATGCAGATATTAACATTTGTAAACTGTAAATTTATAAAAATTATCCTAATAAAGCGATAATAAAATATAACCGGTCAATTTCAAAAAATTCCATATTAAGCCATAAAAATATTTACTTATGTTTTTTTAAAAATTTACTCCAGTAAACAATGTTTGAAAGTCCCGTATTGTCTACAGATGTATTTCAATCTTCAACAGTTATCTCTTGGAATGGTGAAACTGAAAATTGACAAAAATGTGTTGGTACGAAAAAAACGCATGTTTAATAAGTGAAAACTATATTTAAAAAAGAAAAAATCTTCCTGTATAGAGACTAGATAAAACAGCAGTATTTTACGAAGGAACATGATATGAGACCATATATTGCAGATAAATACTTAGAATAAGTTCATTAAGTTTAACACTGAAATCAAAAGTGCTTTACAAGTGAGTGTACTGAAACCTCATAGGGAAATTCTAATACGCAGTAAGACAAAAAGAAAACAATAAACTTTATTTTGTTATAAAAACCATTAAGGCTTTGAAACTCAAGTACATATGGATGTGGAATTTTCGAATTTAGATGTTACGTCTTTCATACGCTTGCCAAAATAATATACAGAAATGAACTTTTCTCGATCTATGTTACGGCCCTAACACGATAAGCTGAATAATTTAATCTTGAGGCAGAGAGACGTAAACTATGCTGTTGTAACGAACGAGAACACAGACAGGGACAGCCAGTGTATTTTAGCACAAAATTACAGAGTACTTTGGCAAAATGTGAAAACCATACGTCTAATAATTCATTTTCAAATCCCCCATCAATTGAACCAAACTTCATTGCCATAACAGTCCCTTTGTTCTCGTGCTCTTCGATCCGATCTTCCTAACCTTCTGCTGCCAGGCATTTCATTTCTGACTGGTATCATATACTACATATATCGACAAAAGTAGCATACACCACACTATCACTTGACTGGTTGGCAAGCTTGCGTGAGTGAGAAGAGTCAACTGTAACACTAATCGATTTATTCCCGATTTAGATTAGTGTAAAAAAATAAAGCGAAATAACATCCTCAAAAATAGCTTCCGCTGTTTGTAATGGCTTCTTTATTTCCCTATTCACATCAACAGAAATAAGCACTTGGTTAAGTAGTCTTGAAATACAGAGATTAAAATGAAGAAAGATGTCATAAGTAAACATGAGACAGACCGATTGTTATATTCCTAGTGAAGATTACATTACGAGTAACGTCTGAGACCTATTAATTGATTAATATTATTTATATATTCTTATGGTATAAATATTCAGTAACTAGATTATGTATATCTATATTTCCCTTGTTATAAGCTTTATTTCAACCTATATATTATTATTGTACGATTTACTGTTCTTAAGCCATGTTCAGTTTATTGACTACTGCATCCCACGTTCACAGCCACTTTTTGGCTTTATTGTGTATGAATGTTATTTCCTACTTTATGCTGTGTTGCGGTCTGTTTGTTTGGTATATGAACCCAGCATGTTTGAAATAAATTATTCGCATAGTGGAGGCTGTTATTGGCAGTCTGGACTCAGCTGGACGGGCTAGGTGAGCAACGGACTAATAGGACGCTAGGCTGATCAGACCGGTCGAACGTCATTGGTTTAGTACAGTATATGAGCGAATAAGTCGTATTTTGATTGGCGAATAAATTAAGTGATAACAAGCGGCTCATAAAGTCACAACACCGATAATACGTAATAAGACAAAAATTAAATACATTCACATCATTATGAAAGTGAAACGGAAGAACTGTAACTTAGAAATTCGAACATTACATTTACGAAAATCATTAGACCCAGAACGACTACCGAAAACTTCATACATTATTGTAATGTATGGGTTTAGTGAGGGTATTACAATATCCTTTAGTATTAGACTTTTTTGGATACAGTACATAATGATAACTAATTCACACCTAGATAAACTTAGTTGAAATACACTAATTATTTAGCCCTAAAATATCGTGAACGTCAGCGTTTGTAGTAGTTGTATCACTCGCGTTCTCTAATTCGAAATACGCTGCATAAAATCAACCAAACAACAAGGTCTTAATACGTTTCAGGGACTTAGCAATGACCGAATTTGATCTGTTAAGGAATATAATAAACTACTAAGCTGAGTGATAAGGTACTGGAAGTTATTCAATATTAGGTAATTGAAAACAATGGAAAATACCACTGGATCAATATGACTACAATATTAGAAGTATGCAGTTAACTAAAGTTTCGAGAACAAAGCCGTACTAACGACTGTACTGGAATGTTTCCCGTCGAAAAAACCTCCCAAACGATGCCGACAAATGGAACTTAGAGGTTGTTAATAAGAGCAGTACGCTTTTCTATCCCATACGAATTCCCGATCTCGAAGGTGAACTGGGAAAAGTAAAGCACTAATAAACGAAAACTACTAAGGAATAAGTCATGGATAGTCGAGAATAAATAGCTGTCCCTCGAAGTCTAGGGTCACTTGCAGGTTCCTTCTCAAGTATATCATGATAAAATACTATTGCACTTTGTGAGCGACCAGAAACTAACATCCACTTAACAACCTCTAACTGGCTAACAGTAGTATTCAAATTTTCCACTGGTCAATATTCGGACGTTTGGTGGTAGACTTAACGGACCACAGAATAATCACATTTCCTGAGCTATAAGTATTAAACATAGTATTGGTAAAACCATTAGTACATTCTGCATGTATTCATTAGGCACGTTTTCGTATGCCATCGTCATGTGACCTATCTTAAAATCGACTGTGAAATAATCCAGTAAGGCTACGATGAAACATATAATGTGAAAAGCGAGTAATTTCTTCTACTCAGTTGTTTAATCAGTCAGACACATTCTTTGAAATATTCGACAGATCAAAACATTATATCGGCAGAGTGTTTTACTCTACAAGACACAACAACAACAGCAATCAAACAGAAATGAAAATTAGAGAATGTCAATCTAATCAGTTTCTATTTGATAAACAGTAAGCGAAAAAACTTGAAATTTAAAAAATCCGTAAGAAATTATATGTAACAAAACAAAACAATGAGTTTTCTTCTCATTGGTTGCTCATTTTTAAATGCCACAACGCTAATGAGAACATGATTAGTTACTGTAGTTGATATCTTCTTTGAAAATACTACATATTGGAGGTTTATTATCTACAGAACTAAATGTTGAATTATCATTATTATTAGTGATATTATTATTATTATTATTATCTTCATCTAATTTCTTCCTTTTTATATATTCTTGTAAATGTGCATAATCCTCGGCAATCTCTCCATAAACATCAAATTGACTGGCTAACTGACGTAAATTATTACCTGTTGAGTTTTGCAAGTTGTTTTCTGTAGAGTCGTCAAGATCAATGATAAGTTTTTGAGCTAATAAACTACGGGCTAGATTAAGTCGACTAGGTGCCGGATAATTTGCATCTGTATAAATTTCATCAGGCATATTCCATAGCAGAATACCAACTAATCTTTTTTCTTTTGGAGTAAGATAGAACACAACACCTTTGGTAAGTCTACCTATACTAGAATCAGGTATATGGGAAAAAGATCGAGTCGTCGAATTCTCCTCTTTAGATGACTTATGTCCAATATCATTGTCATCATCACCGGTAGTTGTGGAAGAGGCAAAGAAAGCACGTGTTAAAAGTAGGCGTGAATCAATCAATCCAACTGCATCCCACGATATTTCCGGACCAAGTGTAGACCATAGAGATGATTGGTGTTGGTAGTATGATGATGACGACGTTCTAGACGAAGATTTATTATTTCCAGATAATAATGAAGCAACCATATTTTTTCCAGCTAATGATCCAGCTTCTTCAGCGAAATTTAGATGCTCAACACGTCGTCGGCAACCAACAACTGGGTCCCAATAAGATGCAGCATCGCCAGCCACATAGACACCTTGTCTTGCTTCCAATTCGGCATTCACTAGAAATCCACCATTATTAGGATCTACTTCAAGGGATGCATTTGAAGAAAGCTCCGTGTTCGGTTCTATACCAATCTATCGAGAAAAAAGTGAAATGGAATAACTTGAGAATACTAAATCGTATAATAGTAGTCAACAAGTCACATGGAAGCTTATAATAAAAGGAGTATGAATATACATACCATAGTTATACAATAAGAATATATATCAGTCCATAATTAGACAACCAATGGGAACATACGACTTTAGAGAATTAGTGTCAGAAAGAATCAAGTGAATTTCCAGAAACAAATATTGGTCAAATTCAAATGATGGTCTTTTTTTAATTCTCAAGATTGAGAATAATTTCATTAAAATTACACAAATATTGTAAATATTCCTGTTGCCACTTTTATAGTTTTGTAAGAAATTTCCTGTGTAAATTATTTGTAATTTCATAACCGACTAGGGCGAGTTGCTTTCGCATTCAACATGCATTTGCGTTCATTAAATATAGCTCATTTGTAATACAATAGAATGGAAGATCACAATCTGATCATAAGTCTATTGTATAATTTATGAAATCTCAATAATTTGAAATCTTCAGAGAAAAATTACAGTTTATAGATCATAGAATGTAATATTAGCAAAGTAGAATAGTAAGAAAAGCTATTCGTTAATAGTACAAAATAATTTCCTGAAAGTCATTCACACACAGTATGGAATATGACAAATATACATTAAACCAAGTTGGCATAATACTACGCTGGTACGAGATGAAATTAACGTAATGAGTAACGAAGGACTCAAAGTAATGGTGGTGGTAGTGAAAGTAAGAAAGAATAAACACATAATATAATTTAAGGAAGAAAACTAGAAGACAAGATCTAGGGGTAGATATAGAGTGAATGCACCTGGACAACTGTGAACGATTTTGAGCCATTCCTCTTTGTGTCTTCAACCACTGATGGCATGAACATCAACCAGATAGTTTAGAGATCAAAATGTTAGTCTAAAAGTCGATGACTTCAGGAAATGATGCCACATCTTGGTTTGGTCACCTCTATATTTACTCTTACCTATTTTCCTACACCAGTTAAAACCGTCCGCGGAGATAGGCAGTGATTAAGATACGTAACAGATGTTCCAGTTGCATGATTCGACAAAGACCTATTACTTTATCAACCGATTAGCGATCTTTGTCTAAAGGTTTATGATTAACTTGGTCGCTTCGCAATCAGCTACCAACGCACAGAAGGTGATAGATAGCTGATACATCTTAGGAGATCAACAGTTAGGTCTAGTAGCTCAGCTGTAACGTCTCAGACTGAAAAATTGAGTGACGAAGATTCGGATCCTACAAGAAACATTAGTTCCTTCATAATTGCAGGTAACCTTAGTTAATGAATACTAGCTAACACGAGATTACATCTGTTTCTGATCGACAACATAAAATCAATTAATATCTCAACATAGTACACGCAATATGAAGTCACTTAGGTTAATAGTCATATTGCAACTTCACTGACAGGATTCCATAAGTACCAAGGGATTAAACGAACATGACATTAATCAATACCTTGTGATCAATCAACTGCATTTTTAATACTTTGTGAACGATGCGCTATACATAAATCTGTACTCAAAACCTTCCCCGACTGTTTCTGCTACATTGATGTGGTAGTTGTGCTTTCCTACGGTAATGAACCAATAGAGCTATACTGCCTGGAATAATCGTTTCTCAAGGTCCTACCATACCAGACAGGTCGGTTGAAGAGCCATAAACTAAAAGCAGCAAACCCAAGGCGAAATCGTACTGCTGACTGCACAGAGGTGTGACAGCAGTAAGGTATTTCCTTCAGATAACCAGCATAACAGCGATGCTGCCTTCTAACAAAGAAAGAGCGGAGCTAGAAAGGCTCGACCCTAGAAATGCACACTTCGTCTTATCTCACGAATTTCCGTCTCCGGTGATAAGGTCCCAACAAGTACAGAGCTAACACAAAAATTACTGACAAGAAGCTCGTGTTTGGCCCGCCTCGAGCAGTTGTCACTCGGGTACTGAGGTAACGTTCTCAGGTCACTAAGACCCATCCCTGACCGTATTTCGTTTTCAGGTACCTCCAGAAGAACCCTTCCCCGGTGTGGGCAACCGGGAAGTGATAACTGCCCTCATACCTCTAACAGCATTCATAATCAGTTTCCCTCTTCGATTCCTATTATTTCTCCTATGTGGTTCTGAAAAGGAGGCTGACCCAGATGTTGCTTGGAAAGATATACGAACAGCTGTGGAAACAGTAGTGACATCTATTAGTGGTTTGAACCATGAGGTTACAAAAAACCAATGGATTTCTTCAAGGTCTGTTGCACTAATAGGTTCTCGTAAGCCCATCACATCAGGCTCTGAACACGATGATTATCGGGCTCCTAACAAAGATTCATGAACTGCAAACACGAGAAAATCGGGCTGGCTTCAAACCTGGTCGTGGCTGTATCGACCACATATTCACCATTCGTCAGATTTCAGAACGCAGGCATGCTTATCGGCGTCCGACAATGGTGGTCTTCACTTAAAAGCAACATTCGACTCTGTTGACCGAGAGTTTCTGTGGCAGTGTCTGTCATTGAAAGGTGTAGCTCAGAAGTACATAAACCATCTGAAGGCTCTTTACTCGATAACAACCAGTCGAGTCAGAGATTATGGCTAACTGTCATCTGATTTTACAACCTCAAGTAGTGTCTGGCAAGGCTGTCCACTATTTCCATTTTTGTTCAACTTCATCATAGACATACTGATGGAAATAACTTTCTCGCCGACTGGATTATCAGGAACTGATCTCCTACCAGGAGGTCCAATTATCGACTTTGAATACGCAGATGACATTTTCCTCTTTGGTGAAGACGTTGATGAAATGCAGTCTTTTGGTAGTACTGAGCAAGAATGCCAGGATGTTTGGGATACGTTCCTACTCATCTAAATGCAAGTTGTTGCTTCAGAACTGGTCGACGTCAACACCTCAATTAAGGATAAGGAGTGAAGTAGTCGAACGAGTCGACAACTTCACTTATCTTGGAAGTCTGATCATCTCTAATTGGTTGGTGTCTGGCGAAATCTCTGGAGGGACTCAGAAAGCTCGTTTGGTTGTTGCCAACTTACGTCACCTATGGCGAAGGCGAGATGTCCGTCTATCAATAAAAGGATGAGTATACTGCGCGACAGTTTGTTCTGTTTTACTTTAAGGCTGCGAAACATGGTCATTAAGCGTTGAAGATACTCGTAAGCTACAAGTATTTGACCACATATGCCTCAGAAATATTGCTGGCATCTGCTGGGATCACTGGGTAAGTAATAGTGAGGTTAGACGCTGGGGATAATGGAATGATGGCAAATCAGTTTATGAGGTTGTGAATCTTCATCGACTGAGATAGTTGGTCCACGTGTTGCGTATGCCTGAACACCGATTACCACGTCGTGCAATGCTAACCGGTGTTCGGGATGGTTGGAAGAAAGTTAGGGGCGGCCAAAACAAAATGTGGCGTCAGTCCATGTAGTCACCAACTCCTGGTCTGAGCCATGTTGATAGATGCAGACTACTTGGTTGGGGTACGCGTGACTATCGTAACCAATGGTTGGAGACTCTGTGTGACATGGCTCAGAATCGATCACAATGGTGCCGGTGTATACACTATTTGTCTTACCTAAAACCGCGAGTTTAAAGTTGCTTTATACTGTTCTTTCTATGAAGTGAATCTTTCTCTCTGTATCATGTCCTCATACTCAATTTTTCTTTTATATATTACTACCATTGAAGTAACTACTATGAATTCGGTGTTCATCTTGTGCTAATAAGGTGTGACAACTTGGACCGATGCATATATGTGCCTGGGCCTACTTTGTAGCTTACTGACTGACCCAACAACTTCGAATTTAGTGAGCCCATTTGAATTCAGTATGACAATCTATGTTTCAATAGAAAATGCTAGATAGCCAAGAATAAACTTAGGTAATTTTACAACATATTGAAAAATAACAAATTATCAGGATGATATAGAGGTTTGACCAAGCACTAGAAATAAACAATCGTCTTAAGTAAAATCTTCCTTCCATCTTCTTCAATAGACATTTATTATAAATTATATTGGATGATAAAACGAAGAAACTTACAGCACAAACTACATGATCAACGTCTACTTCTTCTACTCTTTCAATGCCAGATATTGTACGTCTAATACGAAGGCGAACACGTTCAGTATTAGTACTGGATATCACATTTTTCAATGGTAAAAACTTTTGCGATTCTTTTACACTTGTAGTAGTAGTAGTAGTAGTAGCACGAGTACTGGTATTCACATTTGTATTGGGAATAAGTGACAAGCTGACAACATCTGATGAACTCCACAATTCAATACCTTTACTTGATTCAAAACGTCCAACAGCTGAAGCTAAACATGGTGGCAAAACACTGCCCATTGGAACTGTTTCACGAAATGCATGCATTATAGATAGTTTTGACTGAGTTTTTGAATCGGAATCATCATTCGTGCTATCTGTAGATTTCGGTTGTTTTAATAAACTAACAGATAATTCACTTCCGAGAAAACCACCACCAATAACAGCAATCCTGCCACCACTAGTTCGACGAAGTTTATCAGCAAGATCTCTAAGATGTCTAGAAAATATTGTCATGAATCAACTGTCATATATATGATGAAATAAAAATATGTACAAAATAACAAAATAAATTCAACACTAATCTGGACAGAATAATAAGATGAAGATTATATTAGCGTAATACATTTCAAACAATCTGATCACATATATACTTGTTAAGAACATTTATATATAAAAATAAGATGTCAACTAGACTAGAAATGTGGGGTAAGCGTAGATAAAGATAAGAAAGAGAATAATATGGAAAACAATTTGAAGCCTCATCACACTGGATAATAAACTAATATTACCAGGATAGGTTTAAGATGAGGAAAAACCGTTTTTGAATACATAAAGGATGTTTGAACTTTCGTATGGCTAAGGCTTCAACAAACCTTAATATACGCCCTTTTACAACACCACAAAAGCCATGTTAAGTTCAATCCTATGACCTGTTTCAACTACGTGTCTGGCAATAGAGGCTGATCGATGTTTATCATTTACTCTTTTTGGGTCTTTTGATTTTGTGTTTGCAACCACTTAGGTACATGTTCGGACATTCTAATTAACAAATCACAATTTCTCCTCCTTATGCATGTGCAGCCACACATAATATGATTAATATATTCATTGAGTTACCCAAAAATTAGAAACATAACAAACTCATACATATTACAGAGCACACCTACCTGTAATCTGCTATATTACGAAAATAAGAAACATGTCCAGTGTCAATTAGATTCACACCAGTTTGACTACACGTTTCCAAGTGTTTATACCGTCTAGGTGAACCACCTGTAGCTAAAAGACAACGATCATAGGTTATTTGTCTACCAGATGCCAGAAAAATGGCATGTTTATCAGGATCCAGACGAACAACAGGATCACCTCGCATTAACGCTACTCCACCATATTGAACAGAACTTAAACTGAAAACATATTATGAAATAAACAACAAAAAATGAATTCGTCAGTTGATTATTAGAAATTAAAGCATAGCAGTAACAAAATGTATAACCAAAATAATTATTCTCAGGTACAATTTAAATCTAGAAAAAATCGCAAATAGTCCTTAAACCATAGTAAAGTTTTTAATTTCATCAAAGAATCCAACTAGGTATATGAAAACTTACTCTTCCGGTTTTAAAAAGAAGCTATCTGGTTCATAATATAACCATGAATGTCGACGAATATCTCCATCGCTTCGAAGTAACTTTTTCTCTTTCTCAAGACTTCGATTCCATAATTCTTTACTTAAAGGTGGTCTCAAGTAAGGTGGTGGTTCAACAAATGAAGTTTCTTCAATACCTGGTTCAGCTATTGTACTTGATCCTCTACCGCCAGAAATTAATAAAATTCTAGATGTTGGGTCTGAGGCACGTATCGAACGGGCTGCTGACATTCCAGCCGCTCCAGCACCAACAATAATGTATGGTACATGTGAAGGAAACACTTCATCTTCTGGTTTAATGTACACAAGTGATTCCGGTACTATTAATGAGGAATAATAAACAAATATAAACTATAACAAAACCCAATTGTCTCAAAAAAGTATAGTTGATTTGCTACACAGAACGAATAAATGATATAAACTTGCTGAAATCTTATTCGTAAAAGTATATATCTTAGGGAAATGCTTAGGCTATTATGAATTTTCAAGTATATATTTTGATGAGTTAAAATTTTAAGATTCAACTCTTGAATTTAAGAATATCAACACTATACTAACACTGACATATCTTAGAAGAATAAAGTTCTTAAACAACTTCGTTTCGGATATCTACTTGATGGAGTTGAAGTATTGTACAAATTAATAAAACAATAAGGTGATCAAAAGACTTGGGATCTACGACATATAGTAATAAAAATGTAATAACAGTGATGTAAATTTTGATTTGATATATTACAGATACCTTACTGAACTTAATCAATTTATCGATTTATTTCTGTTTTACAAGTTTTCAATAATTTCTTCAAAGTGGCATAGAATCTAGTACGTGTATACATCATTTCAAGTTGTCATACCGCATTAACACGGCGAGATAAAACTGTTAGGGTGTCCTAGAGTCGTAGAGGTAGCAAGAGCACCAGTGGAAATAGAATGGATTAATCATCGACGATAGAATTTGAGAACAAGTATAAGTCATCAAAAAAATATGGGAATTTTGGAAGCTTAGGATTTAATGGAAGAGAAGGAGCGAATGGACCCGTGCTATTGTGAACGATTTTGAGCCATGTCGTTCACAGTCTCCAACTATTGGTTATGATAATCACGTGGACCCCAACATATTAACATGGCTTACTACAATTATCAATAGATTGGTGTTACGTCTTGGTTTATCCGTCCCTAGCTTTCGTCATACCTACTACTACTACTACACCAGCCATCATCGCACCTCGAAGAAGGAAGTGGACAAGTATACATAACACTTTCCAACCACATTAGTTGGTGAAGATTGAATACTTCAATCGATTTGCCATCGTTGTCTAGAACCATATTCCTAACCGAATAAAAATAGAAATCTCATGCTAATCAAAGATGATCTTAGGAGTGCCTACTTATTGACATAAAGTGTTCCTATTTTCTACTATTGATTATCTACTACTCTAATATGTAAAAATGAACCAGTGACTGATTAGAAATCAATTTAAATCTAGTGTTTATTAATACTTTTACATTCAGAGATATTTTGATAAAAATGCCCAGTTTTACAAAACGAAAATATGCAATACTTCGACGTTGCTCAAAGTATACAACAGAACACAATTCCACAAACTGGTTAAGTGAATAAATAAGTTAATATATATTTGTAATATTCCAATGAGTAGAAAAATTAGATTTTCTGACATTTCGTGACTCAGTGTAAGCCACTTCTTCAGAGAATAAGTGAAGTTTAAACAAAATAAACATTTAAATGAAATCTAACTACGATCAGTTAGTTGTGGGAATTTACTGTCAATTATTGTTAATCAAGTACAAAAAATACTGTGGAGGATGAAGCGGACTTATTACATTTTGTCTGCTCTAAATCACTTTCACTTACCTTTACAGTTAAAATACTCTCGACGACATAATCATTTGAATGGCTAGAGCGATAGATCACATATTTTGTTCAATAATATTAAAATAATAGGACTAATAATAGTAATTATAAATTAGAACTCAACTAAAATGAACAATGAGTGTTATGGTGATCAAACAAGAGCTGTGAGAAATAATGCACTGTTATAAAAAAATTATAGGTGTCACAACAAGTCAATATTATTATAAGGTGTTTATCCAACTCCCGTTTAAAGGAGACGATCTTTGAGCTTAGAATAGGATACGATTAACAGATATTACTATATACACTTTTCCACATGCCCATTAATTAAATGACCACATATAAAACCAAAAGCCAACTCAAATAATATAACTTAGTTAAGCAAGTCTCCATAAGTTACATCGACCTCATATGCCCTGGTAAGGCCGAGAGTGGGGGTGGCCATCCCTCTCTCTCGCAGCCTCTGCCAGGGAGGTCCTACTCATTGATTTTTGGTGTGAGCGTGTTGTTTACGAAATTGAGAAAACAAAAATAGAATGTCTGGCGCTTCGACCGGGTTAGTGGACACTGAGAGTTCACCTAGGAGAGTTGAAAAACCCTGAAATCAAAACAACGGTACACATGGGCTACAGTATCCTGAGGGATCAAATGGCATATGAACCTATTGTTGGTCACCGGCTACCATGGGACCGCATTTCCTCACGACGCTCCACTGCCTTGTGGGTTAGACCTTTAGGTTAAAGGCTCGGGGTATGGCCCCCTAATAAACCACCTGCTTCGGTTTGAGCACCTGGCAGTATTACAGTCCACACACAAATAAAATGAAATGACAATTTTTACTAGAAATACTGTCCTACTTCGAAATAAAACTCAGAAAACTCGTATCCATTTGATAACATTCATTTTATTTTTTCATGTACTATGTCACTCATACACTCTCTTTTATTCCCACTTTGTGTATCCTTATTTTTCAACTTATACAGCAGCACGCCTATGGTGGAAACTCTGTTCTGTCCAGTCACTGACTGGTTGAAATTTGAATGGCACCACCGAATACGAATACTGAAACAGTTTTTCTGAAACCACGTGCACCATTCAAACTGGCCCCCTTCAACGTTCGCACATTTATGCAGGTCGGACAACAGACAGGGCTGACTATGTCTTTGGAAAGTCTTAATATCGACGTCTGATGTCTATCCGAGACCCGCATTCAAGACCATGGTGAAGTACTACAAATTCGCTCTCCATATGTCGCTTCGGAAGGCTTGTTTTAAGTGCGTTTATCCGGGGACCCTGTAGCATCTTCGTCTGGTCTTGCTCGCGTTGGTGTCGCACTAAGCGCTAGAGCTGAGGCAGCACTAATCGATTGGATCCCCATTAACAGTCGGTTATGTGTTGTTAGATTAGAAAGTTCCATCAAAGTGAGAAATTGGCGTGAGAAACGATGTCTTTTCGTCATCTCCGCTTATGCTAAGAAGCAATCAAGGATGAATTCTATAACCAGTTAACTGTTCTTCTCCAGATAGTGCGTCCGACAGACATTGTAGTACTAGCCGGAGACTTGAATGCTCAGGTCGGGCGTCTAGGCACAGAAGAGAATCGTTTAGGTGGCCGATTGGAACGTATTGGTCGCAGGACAGATAACGGGGACCGTCTACTGCAACTGTGCACATACCACAACCCGTTTCTGGCTAGCACTAACTTTCGGCACAGTCATCGCCGATGTGCCACCTGGCATCCTCCCTCTGCATCTCAAGCCTGGACTCAGATTGATCACATCGCGATCAGCTACCGCTGGCGTGGTTGTGTACAAGACTGCCACTGCTTTTGGAGTACCTATCTGGGCTTTGATCATGCCCTTGTTTGCGCCAATCTTACCTTCTCAGTGGCCAACGAAGTGACCGCCACCAAAGGATTAATGTCAGCAAGTTGGTAGCAATTTCACGACGCCATCAAAATGGCGGGTACAGTCAGTTGTGCAACACAGTGGCGAGAGACGTTATCAGATATGGCTCAGAATAGAAGCCAGTGGCGATCCTGCTGTAAACTTCTTTTACTTTCTTCATAAAAAAATGGTTGTATCTTCCTTAACTGAAAGAATTCTTTTTGGTTGTACCTTTCCGTATCCCCCATTATTATTATTATTACACTTCCTTACACTAATCTGGTCCTTATTGTTCCTTTTCTTTTTTTCTCCTCATTCACATTGTTTTGTGTGGTGCATAAATATCTGGTGCCCCCTTGTACCAACATTTATATGTTCAAATAAATAAGTTAACTCTAACTGCACTTATTTATTTACGTTCAATTATATGACAATACAACTCCGTCTGTAGCTCTTCTAGGGCTACTGCCGGTCTAAAGCCCAGGTAAAGGAGGAGGATTTGGCATGAGGTCAACAACCCCATCGCGAAGAATACAACGTTGCTAAAAAAACGCCAACCAGATTAAACAAATTAAACCTTCCTACGAGATACTAACAAACTTAACGAATTCAAGATAACTCAACAACAGGTTCCAAGCTTTGCATACTCTACGGAAAGAAGAAACTTCTATGGAGGACAACTGGAAAGGAATCGAAGAAGCATTAACTTCAAGGTGTCAGGGGGTACTGGACCGAAAGAAGCATCATCATAATGAATGGATCTCTATCGAAACCCTGGACAAGATTGATGAAAGAAAGAACAAGAAGAATATGTGAAAGACCTAACAACGACAGCAAAAAAGCTTCAAGAGAAGGAAATATGAGATAGCTACATGACACAAAGAAGGAATGAACAGAGAAATATAGTTAACCAGAGAGATCGGTCAAGGACAAAGAAGGCAAGTCCGATCACTGACAATCAGGGATAGAGGAACAGGTGAGTCGAACATTTTGAAAAACTCTTAAATAGACAAGATCATTGAATCCCCAGGATATCGAAGCATCACCTACAGACCTTCTTGAAGATATCACCCCAACAACGATCGAAGAAATCATCCGGAATTCATACGACGGACTGCATAGAGGACAGCTGACTGATGCACTCCAAGTAAGGACCTGAGTCAGACAAGGTTGTTTACTCTACCCCTTTCTCCATCTTATAGTGGTCGACTGGATTATGAAGACCTTGACATCTGAGAGGAAACAAGGAATACAATGGACAGCTCGGAATCAATTACAAGATTTGAACTTTCGTAGACGACCTGACCCTTCTATCCCATACACATAGACAAATACAGGTCAAGACAAGCAGTGTAGCAACATTCTCTGCATCAGTAGGCTTCAACATAGACAAGGGGAAAGGTAAGATCATCAAATGCAATACGGAGAACACCACCTCAACCACACTTGATGGAGAAGCTGTGGGAGATGTGGAATCCTTCACGTTCCCTGGAAACATAATCGATGAGCAAGGAGGATCATATGCATACGTAAAGACGAGGATTGGCAAACCAATGCCCGCATTCCTATAGTTGAAGGACATATGGAACTCGAAACAATGGTCAGTCAACATCAAAGTGAGAATCTTCAATGCGAATGTCAAGACAGTTCTGCTGTATGGAGCTCAAGCTTGGAGAATTACTACAACCACAATCAAAAAGGTACAAGCCTTTATAAACAATTGCCTACGTAAGATACCCAATGTCCCTTGTCCAGATACCATCAGCAACAACCTACTGTGGGAGAGAAAAAAAAACCAGCTTTTGGCTGAATAGGAAGTTAGGAAAATACGTTGGAAGTGGATAGGACACACATTGAGAAAATCATCAAACGGCGACACGAGGTAAGAGCTAACTTGGAATCCTGAAGGGAAACGAAAAAGCGGAAGGCCAAAGAACACACTGCGTCAGGAATGGGAAGTAGATATAAAAAGGATGAATAGCAACTGGAAAGGATTGCACAAGACAGAGTTGGATGGAGGGGTAACAGGCTTAAGTAAAGTAATAGGACAACACGTACATTTAGAAGAACAAAAACGGTATCATTTAAAAGTATCTTCAAACACTTGCCAAAAGAAATATGACAGTGAATGATTAACTCTAAAATACTTAGCAGTTCAATGTGAAGAACAACGGAAAGCTAAAAAGTAAAAATGACTAAGTTCATTTTAGCCAACTGTCAAACTTCTGGACCAATGTAATACCGATTTCGTAGGATTTTACGATTATTCGTTAATCTATTTCTGAGTTATGAATACTGCATTTAGTCAGAAGTAAACACATATATTGAAAACTATGGAAACAAACAAAAATTTGTTCAAGAACCTTTATTCCTATATTGGAAAGATCGGCTAACACCTGCGCATACCGAGTCTTTATTCATGAAATTCGTCTACAGATTTCAAAGGTTATAGTAAATCAACAAATACATTTACTGCCAAAGATATAATGGAGACGTACAAGAATCCCGGTGATTCCTTAAATTGGACGTATAATTAAACTTATAAAATACAGTGTAGCCGTAGCTTACAAACACCAATAAAAGTTATTAGTGAAAGATGGTTTCTGTCTGACACTAACTTCTCCAACCTGGCTTTCAAAGATTTTATACGGCCACACAGTAATCTATAATCAACTGAAAAGCGGCAGACATCATTTATAGGATTACTTTTGTAAAACCTTTTATTTATTTATAAAAATCAGTATGTGGGAGATTAAGAGCACACGAAATAAACTGAATTCACCTTATCCAAATGTTAGTTCTTCTTAGTTTACAAAAGTTTAGCAAACGAACTAATTATATGAAATCACTTTTATTTAATAAATTATAGGATTCGAATAGCTAGCTTAGTCAGATTTAATCAGTCAAGTATTGATATTAACTGTTACCTTACTAAGTATAGTTTATAACGTAGAACATAAATCTTAACTTAATTGGTGAGTTAACATATTTTACTACACTGGTTAAACTCTCATATAATTTTCCCTACTGATTAATTTAAATAAATAAAAAAAACAATAAGGATTCATTTCGTCGGTCGTAAGACCAGGCACGTTGTAGCTGACTGACTGACTCGGAATCCACATGATTATCGTAGCCAATGGTTGGTGACATTTGACGACATGATTCAGAATTCTTCGAAATAGCCTAGATGCGTTCACTGTGTATTCTCTTAAATCTTCAGTTTGAAAATCATCTGATAACTTTGATTCTGCGAACCGATTATTTTCTCTTGAATTATATTGCCTATGCCTAATCTCTTCTGTCACCATTGATACTGTTTTTATTTCTATTACTCTAGCATTTGTTATGATAATTTCATCTCTGCGCTGATGTGCTATGTCAGCTTGAATAAATGCAGATTTGTGCCAGGTTCTTTCTTACCTATGATTGAATGATTAAGCAATATCGAACCCTAGATCATTAAATTTTCTTGGAGACAGTTTAAGTTCAAGTATATTGAAGACTACCTCTGTCGAATAAGCAGTAAAGTTAGTCACAATATCAAGTTATTAAAACAACTGAAAAATTCAGACCGAAGACAGATGGAATTAGATAAACAATGAACATTAATTGATAATATGCAACTTTTCGACAAAATATACAGATGGTTACCTACTTTCATCATGAAAATCTGGATTTGTAACCTCTTTCATTGAATCTTTCATAGATTCGGTAACCGGGGAATCAACAAAATCCAAAGTATCCAACTGCTGTTGCTCAACAATAAGAGGTAAATGGTCAGTTGAATCTCTGGTTTCATGTTGAACTGGAGATATTTCAAACGCATTTGAAGCTGAAGATGCTTCAGGTTCCAGCCTTGATAAATATAAGACAAGAACGGTAATCCCTTTTTTTCTTGAATAAAAAGTGAGAATAATAAGAAAATTATTTATTTGACCATTACTTTGTCAAATAAATGCTTCCAGTATTCATATCCAGTTTCACACAAACAGTATATGTGGTATGGTATTAACAATTATGTAACTTTAAGCAACATCTCTAGATAATTACAATATTCAGTGAGTGCCAAATGGAAATTTGACGCAGACAAATTGAACACTAATAATGAGGTTAATTTTATGAGCTAATAAAATCACGCAGAATGGGATAACTTAGATTTATCTAATACATGTCGAGGCACAACTTAGATGACCCAACTTGCCTGTTATAAGAAATATGATGGAAGAAATCTTAAGATGATTTCATAACAGTTTAAGCTGTATACTATTCGTCATAAATACGTAAGAAAATGTCAGTTATTCATCGTTAAAGTAAAGCGTGATTAGGATGTGTGATATCTGAAGTTCCCATAGCGGATTAGCACCAGACGAAAATAACAAGATGAACACTAAAAAAGAACGAAATAATGCGGCAGCGGTGGTAATCAGAAGTACTGGAGATAAGAGATATGGTCCAAAATGAAAAAGTTGCATTTTAAATACTTCACTGGCCACGGGAAACTGGAAAATAGCAACTTGGAGTTAAACTTCTAGAACATAGCGTAATTTTATTTAAAGCACATTTATTCGAGTAAAATCGTGTCGAAAAGTGCACACTATATATAGTGAAAATACAAATTGGGGAAGGTCAGTACAATCTATAAACAAATGAGCAATATCATTCAGCAAGAAATACAGCTCAGTTAAAAAAATATTCACGAAAGCACTTAAATTATGGAAGTTCATTACACTTCTATGAAAAATGTAATAGAAAACTGCAGCCGAATAATCAGTGGGTCTTATTTTTAACATCTGATAACGCTTCAGGCCACTGAGTTGCACTCCCTTTAGGATCCTAGCTAGGAAGTCGTGATGGACCAAGAGGTCCTAGTTCAATACAACTTTTGTTTATACAAAGGCGCTGTGATAAATTGACTACCGGTTTATTTCCTCAACGTCGGTAAATAATGAGTGGTAGGGAAGCTTCTTAGATGGCATTCGCAGAACACGTTCAAATCAGCAATGCACCGCATAACTGACGTTATACAGAGACTAATATTACGACAGCGTTAACATGACCCATACTAGTACAAGAAGCAGTAACTTGCAGTAAACCTAGACTGATCTTACATGTCCCGCCACTACTAGTATTTACAAAACTACACACACACACCAACTTATTGACTACTAATGATTCACTACAAAAAGTGCATGCGATTACCGACTACTCCCAGTATTGTACAGGTGCAAAGTACTTATGAACACCAATTTTCAAGTGATTTATTGCGATTTCCGTAGCTTGAATAATCATCACACAGTAAGACAACTCAATCAACATACTCAAGGTTGGAAAATCGTTCCCCAGAAAACAGACCCACACCACCACCACACACATCTTTTAAATCTGTTTACAAAAAGACATCGATGGTAAAGTTGAACAGTGATGACAATGGACAATCTTATCTAAATCAGTTGTTCGGTAAGAACAAGAGAGAGGTGATTGTATGTCTACACTCTGCTTCCATTTGTGAAATCTCAGTCAGCCAGTCAGTAACAACGTAGAACTTCGTACGTACGTACATCAGTTCGAGTTGCCATACCACATTAGCACAGAGATGCAGTGGTCGATTCAAATCCCGTAGTGGTAGAGGTAGCAAAATTATAGGTAGTAATTGGAAAGATTAGGGTTTGAAGATGTTCATTAAGGAGTATAATACAGTGAAATAAATTTGGAAAGAGAAAAAAGAAAGGGACATGAAGAATTCAGAAGGCTACCACTTGGAAGAACACAAAGAGTGGATGCACCTGCGCCACTGCAAACGATTTTGAGCAATGTCATTTAAGGTCTCTAACCATCGGTTGTTATCGTCTCGTTGATCCCAACCAGGTAGTCTACACCTACCAACATGGCTCAGTCCACTTGTCAGTGACTTCATGGACTTGTGCCATGTTTTGGTCTGGCCGCCCCTAGCTTTCTTCCAACCTACTCCTATGCCACTAAACACCGCACGTCGAGGCAGTCGGTGGTTGGGCATATGTAACACGTGTCCCAGCCATCTCGACCGTAGCTGCTACCTTGACGCGGTGGTCGGGCTTGCCTATCGTGATGACCCAACGGAGCTATATTGGCTGGAACATATGTTCCTGTAGGTTCTACCATGCCAGGCAACTCGATTGGAAAACGGTAAGACTAAAAGCAGCAACTCAAGGTCTGAGGGCGAAGTCGTACTGCTGACTGTAGAGGGGTGTGACAGCAGTAAGGTGTTTCCCTCGGACAACCAGCACCTACAGCGATGCTGCCTTCTCACAAGGAAGGAAGAGGTTAGAAAAGGTCGACCCTAAAAATTTCACACCTCACCTTACCTCACGGATTTCCGTCTCCGGCGGTAAGGCCCTTTGAAGGACGGAGCTAACACGTCAAAAACCTCCCACAAAAAGGCCGTGCGCGACCAGCCTCAAGCAGTTGTCCCCTGAGCTCTGCGGTCACGCTCCCAGGGCGTTAAGGCCAATATTAATCCGAATTCCTTTTCAGCTTCCTCAAGAAATACCCTTCCACGGTGTGGGCAGCCGGGAAGTGACATCAGCCCTCATACCCGTAACAGCACAAGAGACCAAGGTGGTAACATTCAAATCAATTTGTGAAATCTTCACGATATTAATAAACCCATCACGTGTGCCCTTCCTTAACAGAAAATTACTAAGCGTAATCCTGTTCAGTGAATCGAAAGAGGTCCTGGTGTCAAGAAACATTACCACTACTAGCCCCTAGTAGATGTCACGGTAATCCAGAATGTGATGAGGATTAACACATCCATGACTTGAACAAACCGACCTGTTTTTGCAACTCAGTTTTTTTGTGTTTAGGACAATTGACAATGGAGATTTTTTGAACTAAGCGATCTTGATGTTATGATACTAATACGGATAGCCTGGCTTTAATCTACACCTATTCGACCGAACGAGCAAGATTCATATGAATGGAAAGACTGAAATAGAATACGGTACAACTTATACGTTTGGTAAATATGCGTCAGTCTCGCTGGATAATCAACTGTACCCTCTGAACATCAATAAGTAGATGAGTAATAAATATCAGAAACCATTTACCATATTTTCGTTAAGCGTAAATAGGAAGAAAATATTGCGCCATTTCAGGAAGTTCGTATTTTGTGCAAAATTGTGACAACACGATACTGATAAACGAAAAGGTTAATCAATAATGGTAAAGAAAAAGCATATAAATACGAACCCTGACTTATCTGGATTTTTCTTTTCAGTAATGCTGTATTCACGTAGATGATTTATATACCAGTGAAAAGCCAAGCAACTGCCAAGAAATACTCCGGTTATTGCAATGGATATAAATGTATCATTGATGAAACTACTATTACCTCCACTGGAGCTTCCTGACTCCTTAGACAAGCGATTGGAGAGATACCTTGATTGTCTCAGTAAAAGGGTATCTTTTAGATGATAAAGCTCATAATTGAGCTTTACATTGGTAGGGATATAATAATGACGATGAGAAGTACAAATAATTGCAGGTCTGATTTTGGTGCCAAGTGCCGTATTTCTAATAAAACAACTTCTTATATAAGATGAGGTTTTTTGCCTCAGCATTAAATTTATCATTTCTATAAAACATAAAAAGGGTTATAATAAATCAAGATACTTTTCGTGAGATGACAGAACACGTAAAAATGATAAACATTATATATTTAGTCTACACTATATAAATTGTAATTTTTACGAAGACATGTCAGTTTATTAATTTTAACGTCGAGGTTTTTGATCTATTTCATAGGCTCTGTCGTGAATAATCCATAACATCGGCAAAACAAGAACAGCAAATGTAATGTACCCAACAGGATTGGTTTGGTTTCTAAGCGGGTTACGGTAAGGATTAGGCATTTGTGAAGAACTTCTATATGAGTGTTTCAACAGCTGGTTGATTATCTTGGAAGAAACTGACGGGAGCATATCAAATAATCTAGAAAGAATAATAATAGTCATGTATCTAAACACAGTGTGGTAAAAAGAAAGAGATTTGAACCTTGCAAGTTATTTATTTTTAAAAAATAATAATATATTACAACTACGAACTGAAAAGTACTGCGCCTGCCATTAAAATGCAACAGACAGCAACATAAGGACTTTTGCGTTCACCTGTAAACAATGAGCAATAAAATAAAGCAGTAAACCAAACTGACCAATTCTTGCACATTTCCAGAACAATCCTAAAAGTCTTGATTAATAAATAAGATTATGTATGCAAATATCATGCATACCCATGTTTTCGTGAATCCAATAAGGTAGGAGAGAAGTGTCTAATGTAGGCACAAGTGCATATAAGCAACAAAATGACACTCAGCAGGCTTTGAAAGTTAAATAATGCTGACTGTAGGAATATTCAGCACGGCATATTGTAAGCGTATGTCTATTTACCATGAGGAAGAATACGATCTTCGCCAAACACTCCAAAAAAATGAAATCCTAAAGTTTAGAATTAAAACAAAAGACCGCGAAAGTTCCAATTAAGATATTAAAGCTATGTAGAACATATTGGCTCATTTTTTATCAGTGCAACTGGTTACAATGTAAAGACGCAAATAATTCATTGACTACTATATTATTTGCAAAATGATATTCCCGAATTCCAGCAAAAAAACACATGTAAGGGGCAGAAAATACTTCCAGTGCGGTATTTTTAATTTTTTATCATATTTTCTTTTCAGAATCCCAACAGAAACTAAATCAGACAGGATGAGTATAAGCAGCCCTTGGACAACCCCACTGATAATTTGGCTCAATGAAGATTAATGACTGTTTTACTTTAGGAACTTTATTGAATTGAATTGATATATCATGCAGAATGATAAGCCTTTTGCAATATGGAATTAAAGCATGAAACAGAAAGATGACATTGCGGAAAAATAGGAGACAGAGACAAGCAAAATAAACGACAATAGTGTGTGCAAAACAATACAGTTCAGATGAGAACATGACCAAGTTCAGTTCCGTTCATTTAGTATACACATTAAACTCTCTATCAAAAGACCGAAGCAGGATCATTCCCCACATAGTTACCTGAGTTCATGGAATGTTTCATTTAAAAGACCCAGTGAATACACATGATTCCTATAACTTTGTAGATATGGTGATTGTATAACTTCAGTTTAGTTTTCAAAATGTTAGCAAACTTTTTGGATATACTTTTAATCTCAGAGTATGGTTATATCTAGGAGACAGATGACACGATGACTGTTGTAGTGAAACATGAAAGATAATTTCCAAACGATAGAACGAGGGTAAAAATGTGGTCAATACATTCGCAAGTTGAACGAAGTAGTCGATTTCAAAAAGCTAGATGACAGTAAGTAAAATGACTATGCAATTAAGAATTCGTGCAGGTTGGACATAACCTGGACATTGACTTTCTACTATTAACGATATAACCAAAAGATAACTTGAACGAACCTGAAAGGACGTTTAAATTTTTTAACTCATAAAAATGATCGCTCAGTCTACGATACGACCACTGTACCTATTACATGACACTTTTGAGCTTACATATATAAGTTCTACAACGATCCTGCACTTTTCAAACTGGTTTACCAGAACTAAGAAGCATTGACACAACGGGATGCATCACGTCCAAGGTTTATCACTTTAAACCACTCCTTTTGTTTATGAAAAGACATCAATGTTAGATTTCTTTGTTATCCATTACCACGAGGACCTAACCAGGTAGCTTATACCTACTAAAATGGCTCAGTTCAATTGTCATTGACTTCATTGATTGGTACAATGTCTTGGTTTAGCAGCCTCCAGCTTCCTTTTAACATAATCCTACACGACAAAATGGCCCGTCGAGGCAGGCAGTGGTTGGGCATACGTACCAGATGTCCCAGCCACCTCAGTTGATGATTTACTACCTTATCAATCTAATTCCCATTTTTACCTAGTACTCTATTCCCGATCCAGGCATTGATTACTCCGTGGTCCTAAAGTACATGAGAAATGCTTCGAAGACACTTATTATCACATACCAGAAACCTACGAATATCCTCTACTCTTAATGACCACATTTTACACACATAAAGTAGGAATCGAAATGATGCACAGTAAACTAGTCCTTCGGTTGGGAAACGGATACTTCGCCTACACCACGAGTGAAGCAAGTTAGCAGAAGTCAATCGAGCTTTCTAAATACGTGCCGAGATTAAGTCAGACAGCAGACCATCAGTACTGATGAGACTCGCAAGGTAAGTGAATCGGTCAAGGTGTTCAACTAATTCACTCCCTATCACCAAGCGCTGACGCAAACCAATCCAGAAGCAATATTTCGAGTAGTCTTTAAATGGTCGATATGGTTGTTTATTAATATTGACCTTTATGCCAGGTGCAGATTCATGTACTTGGTCTTGAATCATTTTAATAGTGAGGGCTGGTGCTTTACTCGTAACGACTGGACATAAGCATAAACTTTTCGTTATTTGAAAATTTTTGTGCGGAATCGTATCGATTAGCAAAACCATACTAGCAACCTTCAGCGTCTTAATAGTGAACCGGTATTAATCATAAAACAATTACGGAGTAATGAGATTTAATGGAATGCATAGTTTTGACATGATTAATGACCTGTTAAATACTGAACTACTTATCATAGTGAACGAAAAATTGTTAAGTGCATGCCTGTGAAAAATTTAAAATCAGTATTTGACAGAAATTAGGTTAGAACTAATGCGTCCGTATGAAGACATTTAATTTCAAGAAACTAACGATGATAAAACCATTTAGTCCCAGATAACTTCGGGAAGTGTACGCAAATAGCCTGCAGAGCTGAGTATATGAGATTATAACTTCCCGAGCTACCAATTTTGGGGGAAATTTGACTCATTTTGGGGAAGCCGCTATAGTAAAACCACAAAATTTCCCGAGACCTGCGTAAATTTCTCAGTATTTCCCCCAAATTCCCCTTTAATCCTGGTGAACGTCATTTGACTTTGGGGATTTCCCGGAACATTGGTGAAGGTCATTTGACTTCGGGAGTTTCCCCAAAATTTCCCCAAACTTGGGAGCTCGGGTTGGGGACGAACCAACCCGATTTAGGATATCAAGCCCTGAACCTTGGAACGAAAATACTTATCACAATTCCTCAAACTGAATTATAGTTCATCAATAGCATCAAATTCACTTCAAGACCATTCAAAGGTCACCCAAAAATAATAGCCTCTGCGCCTTGTTGTTGTATATGCCAAACTATACACTTTGTACACAAGAAAAAAACATGAGGCTTTTTTAAAGATCAGAAAATCTGAGAAAGCTATCTTAAGCAAATGGATGACAAACCTTAGTCTGAAAACAGTGGAAAATATGGGGACAACACTAACCTTAGCCAACGAGAGCACTGAAAGAACTAAATAACCCGCTTGTTCAAATGGTTCAAATGGTTGTGGACGGAATAGAAGAAGCTTTCGCTTAACAGGCTTCCGTGTCTAGTAGCAGGGGATCACCGAATCCTCCAGGTAGGAACCTAGGTATGTTAACAATAAAACAGGAAAAGAAATTAATAAATCATAGTACGATACTATCCTTAGTCCTTAAGAATAGGTCAAGTTGCCTTTTAAAGGACTTCTGGGAAGTCGCTTGGACTAGCTCTGCCGGCAGCGAATTCCAGCATTTGACAACTCTTAAGGAGTAGAAGTTGTGTCTACAGTTTCTGGATGTTACCCCTCAGGTTAGTGTTCGAACTAAGCTTAAGTAGGTGTTTGAGAGGATATCCAGAAGTGTTAAGAATACTGTAAGCCATCAGAAGGTCACCTCTAAGACGTCTATACTCTGATGGGTAAAGGTCTAGTGAATGGAGGCGCTCTTCATAAGGTTTAAATTTGAGTCCTCGACCTGATTTCGTGGCTCGCCGTTGGATACGTTACAGGGTATCCTTATCCTTTCGGAGTGAGGGGGAAATACTATGTTTCCGTACTCTAAATGAGAACGGATGAAACTATTGAAGATTGTATGGAAAGTTCTTCCGCCGAACTGTCCAAAAATGCGCATCAATGTTACCAGTGCAAGGTTTGCTCGGAAGGCATTTTTGTCAAAGTTAGCGTAAGATTTTAAAGCGTAGGGCAGCAAGGCTCCTAAATCTTTTTCGACTTGGGATACTACTAGAGAGGAGTTACTTAAGTTATAACTGTAGTGTGCGACATGTCGCAGATGGACTACTTTACACTTTGAAGTGTTAAAGGTAAGTCCGTTATCGTCTGCCGAACTTTGAAGTCGAGTCAGATCCTCCTGAAGTGCCTATATATCGTCTTGGTTGCGTATCTCTCTGCAAAGTTTCACGTCGTCGGCAAAAAGTAATAAGTCTGACGATAACTGTTAAGCAATATCATTTATATAAACCAAGAAGAGAAGAGGTCCTAGTACGTTACTCAAAGCGTCAGTATCAATGTCTATTATCTTAATGAAAACTAGCCCTTTTTGATTCTGAACAGTGGTTCAACATTTCTGATCGAAGTGTCTCTAGTCATCACTTTGCATTGATCCAAGGCATATGTGACTTGAACTTTTCTATTTTCACTCTTTACTCCTACAAAATGACTGATTTTTGCCACAACCAACAATTCCGACCTTGTCAGTTATTGTTTTTTTCGATAGCATCAATTCAAAATGATGGAATGTGAAGTATGAAAATGAGATAGAGAAGTTCAAACACAAGTCTTAGTAGCTCACTCACAAGTTTGAGGCCCACTAAAACAAGTTGGTCTGCAGACATAATTTCTACTCTCTGATGATAGCGAATTCGAAAATTTGAATTACTACGGACGAACGTCGACTAGTGCACCTCTAGAAATCAATAAATACTGCTACAGTGTTCATCAGTCACTTCACCAAGCATAAAAACCAAGGTTTTAGGGCTTTGTGAGGATATGCATGGCAAACTTATTTTGTAAATAGTTTTTGATGTATTTATTTAGTTAATTTTTCACAGTTTATACATTCACCATTAAACGATTGTGCGAGTTAAGTGTATGACCTTGAACACAATTCCGTCGTGATACACTCATAGCATGATATACACTGTTATCTAATAACAAATACACTACTATACACGCACATCTTGTTCTCCATTGCTCGTGATTGTGATAACTGAACTCTAAATCATCTACTGTCTACATTTATAGACTGCAGCCAAATTTATATTAAATTCTACGCTTGGCTATATCACTGGAAGGACAACAATCTTACTGGAACCCTCAATCATTTATAATTGTGGATTCTGGTACCAAACTCAACCTGAGCACGCACAAACCAGCTGAACTAAGTAACGTCCCTGATTTTTATTGTGTTTATAACGTTTAACTAATATATTTCAACATTACCCTTTGAATTCAATAACTCTGTTACTGTTTTTGAGTTCGTGTATTGTTTGGTCCACCACAGCTTCAAGGTTCCAGTCAGTGCTGACTATTCATTGTTACAAGTGATATGTGGCTGCTGATTAGTATGGTTCAACTCCATGGATCACGACGTCTGGCTAGAACTCTAGGAAATACTTCTATATAGTCTGAAAAACTACAGGCTAATCCCCAATAGACCTTTTCAGAAGAAACATGCTAGTTTCTCAAGCACTCATCCATTGTCCAACGGACCTTTGACAATGCCTGTTTAGACACCTCGTTTTGTCTGAGCCTCCATAAGCAGTTGCAGGCAGTGCTTGTCTCATTTCAAAATAACGCTGTGGACGAACTGGCTGCATCTGATAATCGGACCCTGAAAATCAAGACAACCCCGTTGCCGAGGTCTGTATGGTTAGGGATAAGCCTCAAACAACACAAAATGACGTCAGAAACCTCTGTCATCCTCTGATCCGGTTTCTTATTATTCATCATAATCGTGGACGTTGCCAAGATCCATGAAGAAGCTCGTTACGAACGAGATCTGTCTCAAGACTGCGGAAGTCAGATAATCCTGATTGGTGCTGATAACATAATACCTATGGCGATTCTTCTGAATAGTCGGGAATCTCAACTTCGTACACGCAAATGTAGATAACTGCTTCATCGTAAGTCCGAACAAAGAATCTCGTCTTCAGTATCAGGACCTCGCTTTCGAATGACTGCTCATGCTTCACCTGCAAAGTTTTGATCAAATAACCCAGAGAAGAGACGTTGGTCAGTCAGTGGTAATTCTGTACTTCGATTTTGTAAGGCTTTAGGCAGTGTCTCACACAAACTTCTTTTGAAACTTTCTTCATTCGGCATAAGGAACCCCCTCTTATCTTTTGTAGCTGAACGTAGCAAATCGTGCGCTTTGTACCTTGCCACTCTAAGCCTGTGAATGTAACCAGTGGAGTTATGCAACGGAGTGTGATTGGTCCATTACACTTTCCAGTTTTCATCAATGACGTGTGCTCCCTCGTTCAGTACAGTAAACATTTCCTTTTTGCCGATGATCTAAAAGTGGTTTATTTGTAGAATTATGGTCTACTATTATATTAGTACTGCTCTAATAGTAGACCCAATCCTAAATTTGTAGATTCGTCATGATATAACTGCCTAATCTATAAGATCTTACGTGGAAGTCACAACATCGACTACACTAACTCACTGTATTGTATCAATTACCAATACATGATGTAGAACAAGGTTAGGCTAGAGAAAGAACAATATATTTAATATGAATGGAAGATATGAGGTAACATTCAGATGGACCACGCCTGCATGGCCGAGCCATGGCACTCGATCAACTCCAGTCCATTCAATTCATTGTTCGCTCCTTCTCCATTGTTAGGTATTTCTCCGCGTTAAATATTGAATATCTATTTTCTGAGCAGTCTCGTGTTCACAGCTTTGTGGATTGTGTGGCTATTGTACAATGCCACTACATATTCATTCTCTTCTCTCACCAAGGAAAGCTATATTTCAGCGGTAATCCAGGAAGAAATAGACATGTACTACGAACTGACTGTTTCGTAGAATTTTATTCTTATTATTATAAGCTTTATTCAACATTATGTTTTTGGTACAATATAGAATTCTCAGCATGAAGCATTCCAACAAGTTTCATTTTCTTATATCTTAATCGATTCTGACGACAAATATTGAGTGATGGCCAGTTAGATATTGGGAGTTCGGTAATCAACATCTGAATAATGTTCATTCGTTTCAATGCATATTGCCGGCTACCATGATATCGCTGATTGTACCTTTTTGCAACCTGTACAGCGAAAGGTTTTAAACTTCTCACAAACGCGCCTGAATAGGTTGTGAGCTCAATAGGCATAATGATGTGCTAAAACAAACAAGAAAACAGATAACTTTACGAAATATCTAGGTGGGAGGAACACGTTTCCCAGATATTCAAGCAGGCCGCTTAATGTTGACAAAAGCGAATTTATTCACATTGGCCTCTGCCTTAACCTAAATCTGGCTATGCACAAGCATACAATGAAACCTCTCAACACTATTCGTGACTTGGGTTTGAGATGTAGCAACAGTTTGAACATTTCCGAGCATATTGCATCGCAAGTATCCAAAGCTAAAAAGTTCATTGGATTCATAATAATAATAATATCGGATCGAGATTATTATTATTATGCAGAAAATGTATCTTGCCCATTCTTGAGTATGGTTTATTAATTTGCAGTAATTGCCGGTATAATGACCTGATTAAAATGGAAGGTGCTTTTATTCCGAATTTTTATCAACTACGTACCCCTTTAATTAACCCTCTGAAGAAGAATATAAAGTGGAATTGGTCTGAAACTTGCTGCTCACTCATTACGATCCATCTTTACCCATTTACATATCATCAGACGCTTCGAACTATGGCATTAGAAAAATTATTTCTCACTGCATGCAAGCCATATCACATGCGGCTAGACCTTTAACTACAGCAGAACGTAACTATAGTCGGATTGAGAAGGAAGCATTGTCAATTATCTATGCTGTAAAGAAATTTCACAAGATGATATTTGGACGTACGTTCACTCTATTAACTGACCATAAACAATTACTATCCATTTTTGGGTCGAAGAAAAGTATCCCGGTACACATAGCAAGCAAACTACAACGGTAAGGAGCTACACTCTTGGGTTATGACTTCAAGATCAACTACTAGCCCACTACCGCTTTTGGACAAGCTGACGCTTTACCTAGACTGATTGGTTCACAAGTAAAACAGGAAGATTCTTTGGTGGCCGCAACTGTGACGAAACAGAAGTATATTGAGTATTGGAAGACGCAGTCGGTTGTTTACCAAATACTTTCAAAGCCATCAAAGAAGCCACGGAAAATGATAAAACATTAGGAGAAGTTAGTGGCAACCTTCTCACCAAGTGGCTGAACCGTCGTTTTCGAAGAGAAATGCTACAATATTTCCGCCGACGGGACTATCTCGTGATGGTCGATTCCTGTATTATGTTTGGTGACCGAATTGTTGTCCCAAAAACATTACGCCACAATGTTCTGAGACAATTTAACAGCGGTCATCCTGGCATCAATAAGATGAAAGCGTTGGCTCGAAGCTATGCTTACTGGCCTACAATGTATCAAGGTATTGAAACCAAATACCGCAATTGTTCGTCGTGCCTGCAAGCAGCTAAACGTTCTAAGAAATGTGAACCGCAACAATGAGAAAAACCTGACAGTTGCTGAGAGAGGCTGCCCGAAGAACTGTTTAACCTCTTTGGAGTTTCGGAGACTTTAGTTACCGATAACAACTTACAATTCACTGCAAAATCATTCAATCAATGGAAGTGTACATATACGCTCTTCACCCTATCATTCTCAACCAAATGGACAGACAGAGCGCTTGATGGACACACTACTGAAAAGTCAGGGAGAGGGGAAGAGTCAGGTAATTACAGAATTCTTAACAGCTTATAGAACTACGCTTAACTCTATCGTCCCAGATAGGAAATCCACTGCTGAATTGATTTTCGGGAGGAACATTCAAACTATATTCGACGCTATGTTACCACCTAACCCAATGGATGGACGCGAAAAAACCCAGAATATCCGGAGATTTAACGTCGATGATAAAGTGCTCATCAAGTCATACATTGGGGAAGATCGTTGGGAACCGAGAGTCATTGTAAAGAGGATGGAAAATGTTTTACACAATTTGCGTGAAACTTCTGGAACGTGAATTAGACATATCAATCAAATACACAGAGAGAAAAGGACTCTAAAAACTGTAGACAGTCGAATGAGGCTTCCGCTAGGGATAATTACAGATGCTCCAACGACAGGAACCCCAAAAGACACTCCTGGAAGCTGGATACAAAGGAAGTCTTAACGCCGCAGAAAACCAGCTATCAAGCTGCAAGTAGGCCCGAAGAAAATGCCTTATCTTTTGAAAGGGGGTTTTGGAGAGATCGAGAAAACTCCTCGAAATAGCTGAGAAAGGCTCTGGAAATGCTGAGGAGCATCATATACAATCAGCGTTCACTGGAAGTCTTTCCGGAAACATCTAGAAGTTGGAAGGTCACATTTTGGGTTTCTGATTGAGTGATTACTACATTACCAACATGTCTAGTAGCATCCTAGAATTTTCGGGAAAACCCAAGGACATCTAAAATACTGTAAAAGCCCTGTACTTTTTGTGCATAAAAGAACGTTCGGAGTAAAGTGTTTCTTGCATATTTTGTGCCTTCT